ATAAGAAACGCTGAAAAGAAGTCCCCGACCCTTTACAAAAAAACACACCGAATCACATGGTGCAGCGGCAGCATGTGTTTTGGGCACATACAAAAATGCCTGCATTAGCTTTAGCAGATGCATAGGAGTGTTATTAACAATTAAAGGAACCACCACGGATCTGCTAAAGGGCTGCACAATGCGTGTTGAGAAAAGACCTTTTTTTTTTTTTGCATTCCTGACATGCATAGATGTGAACCCAGCCTTAATGGCACCACCGCAAAAATGCGGATTAGCAGATGCATGGGGTGCCATTAACATGTAGCCTCGTTCACACATATGTGATTTCCAATCCATTTCAGAATGCCGTTCACATATATGCAGTCCAAAAGCAGTGCGATTTTGAAAAGGGTCCTGTGCAATTTTTAGTCTGATACACTTTAAAAATTCTCATCAGAATCGCACCTGCACTGCTTGAAAAAAAACAAATAAAAAAAACACACAACCGGCCATCAAAATTACACCACATCCACACCGCATATATGTGAACCCAGACTTAGGCTTGGTTCACACCTACAGGTGCGAATGAGTATGCGTGCATTTTCAGCATGCTCCCATGCATCCTACACTCACCAGCCACTTTATTAGGTACACCTGTTCAACACAAATTGCTCATCAGCCAATCACATGGCATCAACTCAATGCATTTAGGCATCTAGACATAGTAAAGACAACTTGCTGAAGTTCAAACTGAGCATCAGAATGGGGAAGAAAGGGATTTAAGTGAACAATGCATGGTTGTTGGCTGCAGACAGGCTGGTCTGAGTATTTCAAAAACTGCTGATCTACTGGGATTTTCACGCACAACCATCTCTAGGGTTTACAGAGAATGGTCCAAAGAAGAGAAAATATCCAGTGAGTGTCAGCTGTGTGGACGAAAATACCTTGTTGATGTCAGAGGTCAGGGGAGAATGTGCAGACTGGTTCGAGATGATAGAAAGACAACAGTAACTCATGTCAATATGGACTAAAATCTCTGAGGAATGTTTCCAACGCGTTGTTGAATCTATGCCACGAAGAATTAAAGCAGTTCTGAAGGCAAAAGGGGGTCGGTAATAGCAAGGTGTACCTAAGAAAGATTGGTGAGTGTATGTAGAGCAGCTTATTCATTTCAATGGGCTGCGGTATGAATGAGAAACATGTAAAAGAAGTACCCGATTTTTTTTTTCAGAAACACGATCTGCATGGTGCATGTGCTTTGGCACACATTTGCAGATGGATGAGGGAGCGGTTACTAATTAATGGCACCACAGTGCATCTGCTGAAGGGCTCTTTACATGTTTCTGTGCGTGTCATGAGGGCACACAATTTTGTGCGTGTTTCTGATACGCATGAACCTAGTTTTAATGGCACCACCGCAAAAACATGGGTGTTGGCAGAAACAACAAAATAGGATTTCCCCTTAACTTTTTAGAGATTTCCTCTTATTTCCAGTTGCCTCTACAGGGCAGAAAGTGAAAATAAAAACTGACAGATGTGTGACCCTTTCACTGCCAGGTCCATACAAACCTGATGGCGGGGGATTTTACACACAATCCGGCAGCTTCAGCCACTGGGATTATGTATAGAACTGACAAGTAGACTCCTGCCTGTCAGGCAGAAGCAGTCAGGCATCTGCACTGCCACCCGATTGTTTCCACTGCCCCCCCCGGTAACGTGCCCCCCGTGCACATGCTCCCCCCATGTATTCCAGACTCTGCTTGTTCATCTGCAGGTGCCGGAAGGTGGAGGGGAAAGAGGAGAACGGACACACATCCTCCCCTTTTAGCTGTGACCCGGAAGGCTACATGTAAGACGTCACTTCTGGGTCACCGCTGCCACTTTCACTATTCTAGCTGGGGAGAGATGTATTGCAATGCGATCTGCACTGCAATACATCAAGTGGAGCCTTGTTAAAGAGACCTGTCAACTAAAAATCACCACATAGGGGACTTTGTGTCCCCTATGTGATAACGAAAAAAAAAAAAAAGTTAAGAAAAATAACTTCGTTTTTTTTTTTTTTTGCAAAAAAATAGTTACACCAAAGCACATAACATTCCCCCTCAAAAAAAGAATTTTGAGCCCCCCCCAACCCCCCATTTACACACGTACGAACGTAAACACACACGTCGGGGGGGTGCCTATAGGTGAAAGCATAGATTGCGATACACATTACATATCGCCATGCATGCCAGAGAGCAATAACTCTAGCACAAGACTTCTGTGTCGTCTAAAGAAAATATACACAACCTTGTCTGTGATATTTTACCAAACATTTGGGTAATTTATTGCATTTGTTGGCCCTAAAATTCACTTAAGTAAATTAAGTGACCTTTGCGGTAATATTGTGTAACATAAAAATTTGTAACTACCGCTAGTTTAAAAAAAAAATACAAAAACGGCTAAACCTACTGTATGCTATGCGGAAAAATAAAAGTTTTAGCATTAGGTAAACTTTAAAGCCTACATTCATCTGTGCAGATCAGCAAAGCTCAACAGATGTGGTGTGAACAAGCCCCAAGGTAGGATTTCCCCTCATTTCTTGTGGCCTCTACAAGGCAGAAAGTGGAAAGAAAATCTCTCCAATGGAAAAACAGAAATAAAATCTGACAGATGTTTAAACCTATCTACTATATCCAAACATAACTAAAACAATTTTTTAACTTTAGATATATTTTATTGAAAACTTTGTTCATGCCAAAACACAGTGAGGGAAACCCACATTCCATGCACGTTTCCTGCACCATGTTCAAAAGGAACTGCGATCTGCAGCAGGGGTCAATGTTAACTTAAAGTGGTGCTTCACCCAAAAGGAGAATTCCACTTTAAGGCCTCCTCCCCTGCTCCTCTTTAGAAAATGGCACTTTTTTGGGGGTGGGCGGTGCCTGTTTTTCACAGGTACATGCTGATACTTCCACTCAGTGATCCAAGGGGAAGTTCTCCCTCCCCACAGTCTTTTGGGTCATGTCACAGGTCCCAGAAAACTGCTAGACCATTCACAATGCACAACGCAGCTTGCACAAGCGCAGTGGGCACCTGGCTGTGATGCCTAAAGCTGTCACAGCGGGGTGCCCACAATTAAGATACTGGCACCGGGGACTGAAGCCGGGTGGAGAAAACAGCTCGGGTGAACACAGTGCTGGATCCTGGGACAGGTGAATGTCTGTTTATTAAAAGTCAGCAACTACAATTTTTACAGCTGCTTTTAATAAACAAAAATATGACTGGAGCTCCTCTTATTGACACCCCAAATGCAGATTGCAAACACAGTGCGTTTTCCTGCACCAGATCGCATGGTACAGTAGTACCACACAATCCGGTTCCTGAGTATTTTAGAAAGGTAGTGCATGCATTACTTTTGGTGTGGTCCAGCGCGATTTCAGCCCATTCAACGTACTACACCGGGATCACATATGAATCATACGGGAACGCACAGCGCATTCCTGTGCGATTATTTGTGTGAACCGGTCCCCAGGAAAGTATGGAAGCTGCCACTTTGGAACTCCATCTGAAGATACTAATTGCTTGGCTTTCTCTAGCTTCAGTACTGTGAGCCACTTACGATGAAAAACAAGCCAATTTGCAAATAAGTATTGTATGGAGCTCAGAGCATCTGCAAGCATTGAAGCAAAACTATCAGAGTGATAGCCAAGCAACTAGCAATTTTAGAAGTTTTCTTTATTAAATGAACAATTTAAAGCAAACCTATTAGTGCCTAACACCGAAAAACCCAACATACTAAAAGTCTCCAAAAGGTGCCACCCCATTAATCCCTGTACCTTTCTACAGAATGTGTTGTGGTGCTTTCAAGTTTCAAGATGTTGTGGCTAGACACTTTTAACAACATTGTTTATAAAATATGATCTCCAGTTTATGACTCTTTACCGGAAACAGTATGAAAAACAGCTGACATAGGGAAAGAGAACAGAAATTGGAAAGAACCTGCTGAACAATATTGTATCCAAGTTATTCTATCTAGAACCTCTTCAGGGAACAAGCAAGCAAACAAACAAAACAAAACAGTAGTAATTGAGAACACATTCAAGATTTTCACAGCATCAAGGCTTCTTTAATCTGCCAGAATCCTTCAAGTATCTGATAACAGCAGGTATGTCCATTCCTTGAAATTCAGGATTAGTGGTAGCAATTTTCTGGAAAACACCGACCACCTCGGATTCATCCATGTTTTTAATGCTGTTGAAAAAGAAGTCAGTTACCTCGTTTTTAGGGATAGAGTCTGAGGTGGCATTTGGGGTATCTTTTAGCAAAATAGTTTCAGAACTCAAAGAATGTGACTCTGTTTTATAATTTAAAATACCTGGGATCTCTTGGGCATCTCTGCTTGTGTGTGCCAATAAAGTCTCTGACCAATGACTGGACTCCTGCCTTTCTGCCTCTTCTACCTTAAAGTTTGTCAAAGCCGTAATGCAGTTTTGGGTAATCTTCTGGATAAAGACAGCATCTTCATCATCAGAGATCACAAAATTAGCTAAATACTCCAAAAATTCACCATTTGTTCGGAACTCTAATGCCTGTGTGGCTGTTGGACAATTCAGTCGAAAGGCATGGCTCTCATTATAGTGTGAGCTCTTATGCTTTGAAATGCGTGGTCTTGAAGTCAAGGCATCCCAGTCACACTCAGGGGAACGCCTGCTCCTCTTGGCCAAAGGTGGGTCATTGCTTTTATATTCTTTGGACCTCTGATTGTAGCGGTAACTTTCACGGCTCTCATCCAAACCTGTCTCCCGATATGGTAATGGTCTCCTTTTTGAGTGAGAACTTCTACTTTCGTATTTGGATGGTAGTGTGTCCTTGAAGGCTTTCCTTCTTTTGCTGTCACCCTTTAGTTTGGATGGTAGTGTGTCCTTGAATGCTTTCCTTGTTTTACTGTCACCCTCTGGTTTGGATGGTAGTGTGTCCTCAAATGCTTTCCTTGTTTCACCGTCAACCTGTGGGAACAACTCAGACTGAGTTAAGCTGACAGTGGTAAAGTTTACTTGGATTTCTTTGCGTCCCTGCAATTTTATGATTCTTGCACAAGCATCTCTGAGGGCTTTTGTGAAGCTAGGTTTTTGGAGGTCATGTTTAAGGGGCATCAAGTCAGGACAATGATTCAAAATATAAAGTTCAGTGTGATCTGGACCCGTGATATGACCGACTATTTTCATCAAGTTGACATTCACCACACTGCACAGCTGGCAGGAGTATTTGTATGATGAGCCCTCCAACTCCATGACATATTCCAGGCCCACAATGGGGTCTTCCTTCACATAGGTGTTCAGGAAGTAGCTCAGGCGGTTTACATTGTTTTGTTTCTGGGGTATGTGCAATTTTCTTTTATGCTTGTTGCCGATGACATGTTGACACAGGGCCACAGCTGAGGAGCAGTTTACACTGCAGGGGGTACAAGTATACTTTTGAAATTCCTGTCTGCTTTCTACTCCCTGAGCAAACATCAGATCTAACCCCTTGTCCTGAGGTACAGGATCCCATGGCAGTCTCTCCTTCACATCCTCCATCTGCAAATCATTACTTGTGGTTGGCAGGGCGCCATTTTTCTTACTACCTTCCTCAGGGGATGGGCCAGCTACCACATCCAGGCCTGGGTTACCGGCATTGGATTTCTTCATGCGGATTTCACTGCGACCCAGCATGGCATGGATGGATTTGGCTGCGTTCATCAACAAAATGATCCGCTCCTCCTTCGTGAGGACAGTGGTCGAGGTGTTCATGTCACTGTGATGCCTACTGACATAGCACTCCACGTGTTCCAGGTCTGTGATATGAGAAACCATTTCCTGCCACTCATCCTCTTTGTTACACAACATGCAGGTGTAGACGTAGGAGGATCCCACCTGCTCCTCCACCACGTACTCCAGGCCCAAGATGGGAATATCCTTTAAATAGGTGTCCACAAAGTACTGCATTCGGTCAACTCTCTCCTGCTTTTCTGGAAACACCTGCGCCATGACCGCCCTATGCTTCTGTCCGACTACGTGTTGGCACAATGACCTAGGTGAGGTGCAGGACACCCCGCAGAACTCACACGAAACCTTCCTCATGACAGCGGAATGTTTACAGGTACGTCACTTCCGGCACAGACGGAAGTGCGGTCCGAGAGCTCTAGCCTGACGAGAGGGATTTGGCTGCAGAATGGAGCTCCATTTCCGATAGGAAACATGTGACCTCCACTCCCCCTTTTTTTTTCTTTTTGGTGATCTTTAATGTAACATACAAGCAGAGTCTGCAGAGTGGAGCTCTACTCGACAGGAAACATGTGACCTCCACTCTACTTTATTTTTTAATTTAATGAACTTTAATGTAACAAAGAACCAATGGACACAAGTCAAGGAAGTGGAGGTCACTTGCTTCTTGTCACATATTTCCTGTGTGTACGTTTCAAGGATGTCTGTTTGCAGACTGGAGCTCCACTCTGGACAGGAAACGTGACCTCCACCCCAACTTTTTTTTTATTTACGTACGAGTTCACTTCTGCGCATGAGCATGGAGGGATGGGGTGCTTTAAAAAACATTTCTTAATTATTTTTTACTTTTATTTCTATTACATGGAATGTAAATATCCATTTTAATAGCAAAAAGCATGGCAGGTTCTCTTAAAGGAGAGATCTGGGGTCAAAAATACCCCAAATCTGCCTTTTACCTTTAAGAGCAAAAGACCGAAAAAAACATTTTTGACAATAGTCTCTCATAGCCTCTATCTGCAGCTGGCTACGCTGTCGGATCATTTCTTGTGCGCACCTCGTTTAATAGTAAGCACGAGAAATGTCGGCAAGCAGCAGGTGGGAGGGAGGGAAGTCCCCTCCCACCACTATGGAAAGAGTTCCAGTGGCCTAATAAGCCACTCAGACTGCTTTCATCAGAAAGCTGGCAGTTGACTGATAAAAAAGATATCGTGATTATGGCTGATATCCTCAGCCATAACCCGGGTCAACCACTTGAAAACCGCAACAGTTATATACGTATTACGTTCTTCAAGTGGTTTTCAGGTTTGTTAAAAAAAAGTTGGACGGAGATCACATATTTCCTGTCCAGTGGAGCTCCACTCTGCAGCCATTGATTGTTTTCTACCTTAAAGCGGAGTTCCAGTTGAATTAAAAAAAATAAATAACAGTCAACAGCTACAAAAACTGTAGCTGCTGACTTTTAAAATACAGCCACTTACCTGTCCCTCGGTCCCGCGGTGGCCTCACCATGGCTGGTATAACTGTCTGTCTTCTCTCCCCGGCGCTGACATCTTCAGTGTGAGCTCTGAGGAAGAAGGCATGTCCTTCGAAACGCGTCAGCTGTACTGAGTGGCTTCCTCCATAATGGGATTCGCATTGGCATCTTGCCTCTAAAGTCCCTTTGAGGACTTACATGCTTGTTTTTATTCGCTGTTTGTGAGTACCATTCTTTTATTTAATAAATTTTGGTTACTGAGGTAATGCGCAAGGTTGGTGCGCTTTTCTTTTGTTGTTCTTCTTCACAGTTTTGTTTGGGCTTCCCCAGCCTTGGTGTGGAGCTGCACGACCTTGTCTATTCTGGTGGTCCCTTCCTTTTTGGAGTTTGATTCCATCTACTCACCTGGGTCCCGGAGCGCAGGAGACATTGCATTTGGTTCACTATCTTCAGTGTGGGCACCAGGCTGTGACAGCTTGCGGCTTCACAAGTGGGTGCCCACTGCATATGCACTGTGTTTTGTGAATGGTCCTGAAGTCTTCTGGGAACTGTCATGTGTTCCAGAAGACTACGGGAAGGGGAGGACAACTTCCACCTCTGATCGCCTTACGTGAGTGGGAGCGGGTACCTGTCAAATTCGGGTACCCGCTCCCCAAAGGTGCCAATCCTTAATGGGGAGTGGAGCACAAAGCATTAAAGTGGAACTTCCCCTTTTGGGTGGAGCTCCGCTTTAAAATTCACAAAAATGAAAAAAAAAAAAGTTGGACTGGAGTGTGATGATCGCGGCGTCAGACCCCTGACCTTCTCACCAAACTCGTGACCGAAGGACTAGCCATCTGAAACCGCGATGTCACGTGCGTAACAATGCCACGCCCAGCTGCACCCTGCACAACGATTTTCCAGCTAGTGGACCACAAATCGATGTACCGGCAGCCTGAATGCGATTGTTACTGAGTCAGGTTAATTACGCAAATTGTGCTACATGCTGGGGTCCAGTGCACTCCTTTGCCTTTAAGAGGGGTGGCTCCCTCAGGTCCACCTGCCCTTGATCTATCCATTAAATGCATGTGCCTCTACTATGGGGACTCACAAATTTTAGAGTTAGGACCACAGATGATCAGGGTGCCGTGTCGTGGCTCTGTGGCTTACGTATGTATTTGCAAATGTGTGCTAACTAAACCCCTGTTATAAACGCATACTGTTAGACAGGTTAATTCGGTTGTTAGCAAGCTGGCTGGCAAGTTGTCCAAGAACATTGTTCTCTCCCTCTTTTTTCACTATGTGATGCCTGTTTATGTGTCCTTGCTTCATAAGCCAGTTATAGACTTGGGCGGGTGGCCACTTTTATGCATAATTACGCAACTAACCCTTCACACTGCCACCACCTCCTTTTTGTACAGAGAAAGAGGAAACTCGGCAATATCAGCAATAACACTATGATGGTTGAGATAATCGTCTGTATAGCACTATCACTGCAGACAGGTTATACAGAGGGTTAAACAAACACAGTAGCGCTCTTTTAGAGGCAGGAATTCATAAGTTGCAATAAAGAGCTGTAGAAACAGTTCAACACTTTCAGAAAGGAAGATTTATTACTAAAAGGTCAAAAGGGTGCAATAAAAATATTTACAGAAAAAAGATGCAACCAATATATATATATATAAATATACAGAGAAAAGATGTAACCAATATATGTATATAACTATACAGAGAACAATAGCACAGCAAAGAGGTAACAGAAAGGAGGGTAAAGGGTTAAAGTACTTTCCAATCAGCCTTGGGTTAAGCAGATCAAGTTTCAGAGCAAAAGGGCACGTCTCCCAAGTTGGTTCTGATTAAACGGGAGAATTCTTCAACTTCCACTCTTAGGCCTGACAGCCTATTTTGTAGTCCCCCAGCAGGGGGTGTCTCTGAAGCCAAGGACCAATGCCTCTGTCAGGGATCCGGGTATGACCAGAAGTGTGTGGACTGACACAGGGAAACGCAGGCTTCAGGTATAGTATAACAATACATAAACGCAGTGCAAAACATAACACAGTGCAACAAACCAAACCTCCAACAAACAACCATACATACAACACTAAATGTAGTCAGGCAGGCCAGGTCGGTAGCAAACGGGCAAACAAGGTACCAGGAGCCAGGTGGGAGAGTGGTCAGGACTAGCCAAGGTCAGTACAGGCAGAGTTTGTGCAGAATCAGGGTAGAAGCAAGCAGGATCAGGATACCGGGGCCAAGCGAAACAGTACAACAAGGCACTGACTGCAGGTCTGGCCATTCCTTAAATACACCTCCTGCAATCAGCCTCAGGTGATGGCTGACTGCAGGAGTGAGCTTCTGGTTGCTGAGAGCACCCGCTGGCTAGCCCTGGTACTGCAGCCCACAAGGCAGGTGAGTCCCACCACCATTGGCGAGTCCATTCCTGACAGCCTCATTTGGGGAGGGAATGTCTGGGCGGAGACCCAAACTAGAACCAAAATCTCTCGTAGCTCATATTTTGGCTGATAACTTTTCCTAGGCACAAGTGCCATTCCACCCGTGGGTAGATTAATATGCAGACGCATCTGAGGAACGGTTAGATATGAAATATAAATTACAGACTTGAATGGTTCAAGAGATGTAATTTTCTGCTTTCCTAGGTATTCCAGTCAGGGAGTGTGTCTTATCAAACGATTTGTCTGATTGTGAGCAATCTGAAGATATGCCTGGTTTTTGTGTAAGTCTCTCATATTCCAAGATATGAGACATAAGGGAAAAATGGATTTTAAAAGTGTTATCTAGTTTCTTACTCCTCTGGAATGTCTTTGAACTCAGGGGAAGGCTTGGGTTATCTTTTTACGACGAGGTACCAGATTGCTCAGCTTCCCAGCCAGCCCGGCACCCAGCTCAAAGATGGTTTATAGCTCGGAGCACTGGACTGCCTGTGACACTTCAAAACACACCAACCAAATGTCACTGTGACTCTCAGAGAAGGAGGGGGAGAATGAGGGGAGATAAGTTTGTACAAGATGGATGATCCTTTGCCAAGATGGAGGTTGGAGCCAAAATGGTTGAACCACGTCCATCTCTGTGTGCATGATTGCTACATGGAGATCACATGTTTCCTGTCTGGAGTGGAGCTCCAGTCTGCAACCAGACACCCTTGAAAAATATACACAGGAAATATGTGACAAGAAACATGTGACCTCCACTACCATGACTTGTGTCCATTGGAACTTTGTTACATTTAAGTTAATTA